TTCCATGCGCAGAGGGATACCTATATACCTCTACGCACAAAGATAACTTTAGTAACATTAACATAAATTGAACATTACAGTTTTCACATCTTAACAACTAAAAAAACTGGTAATTTCTTTAGCATTTCTTTCAGACGTACTCGTTGGATACGTGCCCGTAACGGATGAAAACCTACATTTGATAGTGATTGTTAGTAATAGATCTTAACTAAAAATCGTTGAAACCGTATACACGTTTTAGTTGTGGATTCTTAATTTTCCCCTGGTTGAAATGCTTTATCATTATTATTATTCCCCTGGGTTCCAAGGGGAGCATAGGGCGTCAGCATCATATCACAATTTTGTCCTTTGCTGCGTAGTGCTCCTTGGGTGGCTGCATAAATAAGAGCATACTGCCATTTCGAATATGGGTAAATTTTTGTTTTGATAAAGTCTCACAGTGTTATGCAGTAATGTTTACTGATGACGTTTCGAGCACAATTTATTGCTCATAATCATATCAAGGTACTCACACGACCTCCATTAGTTTTCATTTGATTTGATTGGCAGTAGTATTTTCCATATTTCAGGTATGAGTGATGAATAATTCCTGTTGCATGTGTTTGGTGTAGACTCGATGAACAAGGATTCAGTAATCAACCTCTCTCTCCACCTATCTAGATTACTTTTTAGAATTTTAACCCTCTCCCACCCTATTGTGTGGCTGTGTGTTAATGCATGCATTGCAATTGCTGAGCTTTTTTCTAAATTACTTATCTTTTCAGGGTCAACCATTCTTACCCTAGCTAAATTCTTATGTTCTGACAATCTGACTACCCCTGACCTACTAGTTTGACCTATGTAGTTGACCTCACAGTCATTGCAGGGTATTTTGTAAATTATATTATTTTGTCTAATTGGGTCAACTGGGTCCTCTAACCTACAGAGCTTGTCCTTGAGTGAGTTTGTAGGTTTAAATGCGATCCTAATTCCTGCTTTATTTAGAATCCTACGTAGGGTTTCAGATGTCCCCTCTTTATGTGGTATAACTGTAGATGACTTATATTCTCTCTTATTTATGTTATTATTAATCGTTTCACAATTATTTTTACTTTTCGTTTGGCCTTTTGTGATCTTCCTAATGAATTTTAAAGGATAGTTATTTAACACCAAAGCCTCTTCTATCTGTTTTACTTCATCGTTTAGGTCTTTTCTTGTGCAACTTAGTGCTACTGCTCGGTTTGTTAAACACTTAACTAAGCCTGCCTTAGCAGTTAACGGATGAGATGAATTAAAGTCTAAGTATCTATTAGAATGAGTTGGTTTTCTGTACACACTAGTGTGTAGTTTACCTTCTATTCGTTTTATTTTACAGTCCAACATAGCTAATTCTCCTTGTTCATTTTCCGATTCAAATGTGAATTTTACTCCCTCCATTAGTGAGTTTACGTGTGTCAAGAAGCTAGAGATATCTTCTGTTTTTAACACTGTGAAAGTGTCATCCACATATCTCCACCATATTTTTGGAGTAGGAGTAAACGTATTAAGAGCATTACTTTCCCAGCTGTCCATAAATATGTCTGCTAAGATAGGGGATATTGGTGATCCCATTGCTACACCTTCTGTTTGTCTATATATTTTGCCTTGGAACTTAAAGATAGTAGATGTGAGGCATAACTGAATCCCTAAAATAATTTCTTCAATGGGCAGCTTTGTCCTATGATTGAGTTCAGGATCCGCAGTTAGTTCTTTCTCACCTGCTTCTAATGCCATAATGACTGGTATATTAATATGAAGACTAGTTATATCAAAACTAACCATTTTTTCATCATTCTCTAGTTGAATGTTATTTAGCTTACTTTTCATCTCATATGAATTAGTTAGTCGAGATTTTGAGCGATTTCTAATGGGACAAAGTATTAGAGCTAAGTGTTTTGATAATTCATAAGTGGGGGTATTTCTAAAATCTACTATTGGTCTTATGGGATAGCCTGGCTTATGTATTTTAATAGTACCATATATTCTACTAGCATTATTAGATTTAGGCATTAAATTAAACCATTTTGACTCACCCAGTGACGGCTTCATTCTGCGTGTTAGTTCTGCTGTAGATTTCTTAACCTTATTGATTATTGTGTCCACAGGCTTCTTAATGTCTTCATATGGACCCGTATGAATATGTTCAGTAACTTTTTTGATATACTCAGATTTATCCAGAGCTACGGTGGAGTTTCCTTTGTCAGCTTTTGCGATGACAATATTTTTATCCTGTCTTAGACTAATTAAATCTTCTCTTTCCTATTTTGTTAAGTTTGATTTTGTTTTCTTTTGATTTTTCAGGGTTAATGCACATTGTGCTCGAACCTCTTCTGCTGTCGTCTTATCTATTGAGCTTAGTGCTACTTCTATGTTAGGAATGACATCCTCTGGTTTTAATTTATTAACTGTTACGATGAAATTTAATCTTTTCTCAAGTACTTTTATCTCACTAGAGCTTAGTTCCCTTGATGAGAGGTTGATCACCCATTTTGTTCTGTCGATAGAGGATGACGTGTTGATATCAACTTCATTTGTTGCGTTCTTTTCTTCAATTAATCTGTTGAATTTTTCGATTTGTGTGATTTTTGATTTTATTAATGCTGATTCTCTAGCTTTGTTGGATGTTTCAATAACAATTATATAATCTTTGTCATTGACCACATATTTGAGTTTGTGTTTGAGTTTTTCAATTTCATTTCGTACATTATTTAGTTTCACAGTAACTCGATGTAGTTCTTCTCTTAGACATAATCTACTTACATTTTCCGCTGCCGATGTTATTTTGCTTGAAGTAATTGGAGTACGCAGACGTAAATATTTCGCAATTATATGATTTTTGAAACATCGACTGTTAAAAATCTGATGATTTGTGAATCTTGCTTCAGTTTGACTAAACCGTGTGAGTTTGTTGATAAGCTTCCCAGTAGGAAGACCATGAGTATCATTGATATAAGAATAAAACTTGTGCACTGTGATAGAGTATAATTCCATTATGGGTAAATTTTGTTTTCATAAAGTCTAACAGTGTTGAAAAATAAACTAAACGACATTCAACTAGAGAATGATGAGAAAATGTTTAGTTTTGATATAACTAGTCTTCATATTAATATACCAGTCAATATGGCCTTAGAAGCAGGTGAGAAAGAACTAACTGCGGATCCTGAACTCAATCATAGGACAAAGCTGCCCATTGAAGAAATTATTTTAGGGATTCAGTTATGCCTCACATCTACTATCTTTAAGTTCCAAGGCAAAATATATAGACAAACAGAAGGTGTAGCAATGGGATCACCAATATCCCCTATCTTAGCAGACATATTTATGGACAGCTGGGAAAGTAATGCTCTTAATACGTTTACTCCTACTCCAAAAATATGGTGGAGATATGTGGATGACACTTTCACAGTGTTAAAAACAGAAGATATCTCTAGCTTCTTGACACACGTAAACTCACTAATGGAGGGAGTAAAATTCACATTTGAATCGGAAAATGAACAAGGAGAATTAGCTATGTTGGACTGTAAAATAAAACGAATAGAAGGTAAACTACACACTAGTGTGTACAGAAAACCAACTCATTCTAATAGATACTTAGACTTTAATTCATCTCATCCGTTAACTGCTAAGGCAGGCTTAGTTAAGTGTTTAACAAACCGAGCAGTAGCACTAAGTTGCACAAGAAAAGACCTAAACGATGAAGTAAAACAGATAGAAGAGGCTTTGGTGTTAAATAACTATCCTTTAAAATTCATTAGGAAGATCACAAAAGGCCAAACGAAAAGTAAAAATAATTGTGAAACGATTAATAATAACATAAATAAGAGAGAATATAAGTCATCTACAGTTATACCACATAAAGAGGGGACATCTGAAACCCTACGTAGGATTCTAAATAAAGCAGGAATTAGGATCGCATTTAAACCTACAAACTCACTCAAGGACAAGCTCTGTAGGTTAGAGGACCCAGTTGACCCAATTAGACAAAATAATATAATTTACAAAATACCCTGCAATGACTGTGAGGTCAACTACATAGGTCAAACTAGTAGGTCAGGGGTAGTCAGATTGTCAGAACATAAGAATTTAGCTAGGGTAAGAATGGTTGACCCTGAAAAGATAAGTAATTTAGAAAAAAGCTCAGCAATTGCAATGCATGCATTAACACACAGCCACACAATAGGGTGGGAGAGGGTTAAAATTCCAAAAAGTAATCTAGATAGGTGGAGAGAGAGGTTGATTACTGAATCCTTGTTCATCGAGTCTACACCAAACACATGCAACAGGAATTATTCATCACTCATACCTGAAATATGGAAAATACTACTGCCAATCAAATCAAATGAAAACTAATGGAGGTCGTGTGAGTACCTTGATATGATTATGAGCAATAAATTGTGCTCGAAACGTCATCAGTAAACATTACTGCATAACACTGTGAGACTTTATCAAAACAAAAATCTACTCATAATGGATTTATACTGTTCCACAGTGCACAATTTTTTTTCTTATTTCAATGATACTGCCATTTCGTTTTCTCACGATCCTCCGTCACGCTCAAATTGTCGTTTCTCATTCGATTTCCATTACAAACCCGGTGCGTAATGACAGTGAGCGGTCTCCGCTGCGAGTATTTTATCCACCTCTGATTCCTACAGGCTATTTTCTAAGCAGCAGGTTCTTCAGTGGTTCGTCCCGAGAGTTCTTTGCTACTAGTCTTTTCTGACTATCATCATTTATATTTCATTATTTTATGACCACCTGCATTTCCAATCACCTAGACGTCCAAACCTCAGGAGGTGTACAGGGTTTCTAACCCCGAATCCATTGGTAAGAAGTTAAGCGCTTAGACTAAATAATTACAACTCCAGTTCGTCACGTCATCTACCAACTACGGAACGTTTCTGTGTCAGCCTAGACAGTATGACCAGATTATTCTTAGAAAATGATGCATTTTTAGCATAATCTTTTTCTCTGCTTTACAGGGCATCTTTACTTGATGAAGTACAGTTAAATAGAAGAAACGCTTATGGAACTATTGAAAGTCCAGATAAACCACAAATAATTATTTTGGGCAGTGAATCTGCTGGCAAAACACGTCTTATTGAATGCATAAACAAGGATAAGGAGATTACATGTGCTATTGGATTGGATTATCACTTTTTAGACCTTAGTGAAGACGGAAATGAAGGTGAGTTATCGATTAAAAAAAGTTTTTTAAATTCACCGGTAATTATACTATTTGATTGAATATTATTATCCCTATTATTAACCCCTTTTGGTTGCGATTGGACGTAAACACTTCATCCTCATTTCATCTTGCTCTTTGCCCAGTATGTTCCATTTCTTTCATGTTAACATCAGACTGAGGCTCAACTTATTGATTCCTGTTCGGGTTACACCCAAGTACCCAATGCTTGATTTCACCCAACAGTCTCCGTAGTGTTTGTCCGATTCATCTTCAATTCCTTCGAGGTCATTTTCAGGCAACAGGATCTTGGTTATTTCGTCGCACTGCAGAGTCCCTTGTTCCCCCCATCTAACTTTCATTATGGTGTGAAGGCATTTCGCGATAAATGCCACAACATCTGGAATAGGCATTCGAAGCGCTATCCCCTAAATCACTGCCCATTGACTTACTAGAGGAGAAACTCATTTGAGTTCTTCTGAGAAATTGTAACTAGTTGTGTCCATCAATTCATTTGTGAAACTAACACTAACTGATAGCACTGTATGTCTGCAGCACTATTTCGCGAAATGGTAGATATTAGGATTAATCATCTGTTCGATTTCAACCTAGTAACTGAATACTTGTTTCATTTCCCTGAACTTCCCGATTGGAGTTAAACTAAACCTTAAAGTTGTCCTTGAGCAGCAAAGTCAAGAAATAGCTAAAATAAAGACTATAAACCACTAGTGTTCTGAGATCAGTTTATATTTACAATCCTTCTGGTTTACAGAGAAATCTCAACATCCCTGTTAAACCTAGACCTCATATGCATCTTCAAGTATCCGTTACCTACATAGTAATTTTTACATTTTTCAAAACAGTGACACAGAAGAGATGACCACAACATATATCTAGGCTATGCCGACAATGAATATAACAGCTGTCTGTCCCTCACCCCACTCTACCTAAGCAGTAACACGCAATGACGTACAACGAAAAGTCTAAGTATCAACATAAGTTTATTTACGAGAAGATAAGATTGTACTCCTAATTGTGGCGGACTGGATTATGTGTCAGACTGTGGGGGGGGGGTGAAAAGACAGGAATATGTTGCACCAGAAGATATGAACCTCACGGACCAACAACGTCTAATGTCATATGAAATCGAAAACCTACAGGATAAAGCCAACAAGTTATTCGAAGAAGCAGCAAGGATAGGACCTCAAGGGAAAATATATAAGACACAAGTAATGAAGAAAGCCAACCAACAACAACAAACATTAATCCTTATCAACGAGAGAAATTTGAAAGAGGTCACCTCCTCCACTTATCTAGACAGCATCGTTTTAACTAAATCCAGCTTCTTGGATGAGGATTTAAAACCTAGTCAGGATCAGAAATGCAAGACGAACCTTCATCATTCTGAAATCAGTTTGGGAATCTTCTGCATTCAGTACAAGGGAAAGAGTTCGGATTTTCAACACCGATGCTCAGTCAATCAGCTCTTTTATACGGGTCAGAAACTTGTAGAAAAACATTTCCAAAAGCCTACTGTAGACTTTTATCAACGGCTGTTACCTTCGCTGACTCCATATTGAAGATCAAATGGCCAGCCAGGCAGAAGTAGAACCAAGAAACTCTGGAAATGAACCAGCCAAGAACCTATCGCTCAGCAAATATGTAGAAGAAAATGAAGATGGATTGGGAATACTCTGAGGCGACCGTTGAATGACATCGCTCGCCAGGCCACCGCTCGAGTGGAGTTCTAATAAGAAACGATGAGTTGGTCGTCCCAGGGTGACATGGAAACGATAATGTGAGGGGAGGTGAGAGACTATTGACAATCGTGAGGCCAGCTAAAGAGGCCTTCAGAGAGTAGGGCAAAGTAAAGATTTGCTGAGGACCAATGACGTAGGTGTGAGAAAGGACGCCAACATATCAGTAATCAAACATTCCATCTTCCTAAAACTTGTTTAACAAACCTAGAAGTAGAGATATAATTTGATTTGGTTGTACGACCTTTCATGCTAACTGTCTGTGGAAGGTCATGTATAAGAGTGGCTGCTATAGTTTAACTTCGCCTGTCTCAATTTTCATCACTGCTATGGGGTCATGGGTGTTTACTGTTAAAGAGTTACAAACTAGAACGAAGTAGCTGTCAGTTCATGATTAATTCCATTTTCATATTAGTCAGCCAGGGTAATTACTGTTAACAATATTTTGTGATGTCAAATAACACTTGATTACTTCAATCTGTCAACTTATACTGAAGTTAACTGATGCACTGTGTTTTTAACCTGGTATTTGTTTTTGTTATTTTGCCAAAGATTCTCTAAATATGGGTGTATGGTGTTTAGACAGCAATCCACAACAGACTGGTAGTCTGTTAAGATTTGCACTGAACAAGTCGAATATATGGCATACAATGGGAATTATCTGTGTCAGTTATGCAGAACCATGGTCAATATTGAAGGAATTAGAATTATGGTTACAAATACTTGAAAAGCATATTGAACATTTGAAAATTGATGCTGAAGAGATCGAGAATTTAAAAGCAAGTAGTAAGTGTGTGTGTGTGTGTTTGTCTTTTCCAGTCAACAACAGGGAATTTACTTGTTGAAAATATTATTATTAATTTGCATATCCTATTGTTTGATTTCAGTCGGATGATGAGTCTCTAAACGTGGCGAAACATGGTCACATTAATCAGATAATAAGCATGTAAAAAGAGGATTCCACCGACGACATTGGCTGAGGGTCAAGATATATATTGTAAGTTGGTAGAAGTGAGAATTGTTAGGCCCATTGGGTTCCCCCTTGTGGCTGAATGGTTAATCAGCTGTACTTGTAACCTGGAGGTTTTGGGTTTGCTCTTGTGTAGGTGGGATCAAGGGCGTATAGAGCTTCTGTGGAGTCCCCAACAAGGATGAAACAGCTGTCTAGTACCACTTCTTGGTGCTTTTCAATGGTTCTCTAGCTGAAGTGAATTCGTGATCATATTTCAAAATTAATCACGTCCCGCAAAGCGACACTAGATTATCACTTGATTATTAGCGGCTATCGGTGGAATGTGGGACTTGTACTCCTTCCTATTTACAATTCACCTGATGAATACAACTGTATTCCCAATGAGGTGTGAGACTGTCACTGAGATTTGAAGCAAACATCCAAATTTTCAAATGACATAGCATTAACCAATCGACTAATTAGCTATGAGAGCCACCTCCTGGTGTAATGGATACTCAAAATGAATTCAAGCAATCTTCTCTATGATTCTACCAGTTTTCTTCCTTGAAAACATTTATTTCCCGATACGAATTTAAAACAAGCAACAAAGGTTAATAAAGCAGGAATTAATGGATTTATCAAATTTCGGTAGAACTCATCAGCTGAATACTCTACATACACGGATATATATATACTTTTGAAATTACATTGGGAGATATAAGACTGAAGAGTAAACAAACTACATTAAATTAGTCATGCAGAAAGACAGGTGCGAATGTTTTCCAGGTCATGTTCAAACAGACAAGGGGAGAGGGAGTATAAGAGATCAAATTAAGATAAATTGCATTACGCTTCAATTACATCACTTTGATAATCTATTAGACATTAGAGAATATAACTAGAATTGCAAACAGTAATATCAATAGTAATGGTTATAATAACAATAATAGTGTTGAAGTGAGTTAAGATAATCCTACTGATTAGTTTAAATGAATCAAGAATAATGATTTTTTTATGGGGTAGAATAATAAGTAAAACGTATTACCATGGTAGATTCAGAGTGATGACCACCTAGTTTTGTACACAGAGACCTTGTTTATAAATTCGAATTGCACAAGCCTCTGCAATTGCAAGCATCTTCTTGTTTCTTTGTCTGCTGACAATAGTGAATGACTTGACCGCGTCGATATCATGTCCGTAATCCACAAGATGTTTTGTTATTGAGGATTTTGGCACTTTGCACTCAGCTGTTTTCAACCATTTTGGCAAATGCTCCATCATGCGAGTAGACAATCGCCTTTGCGTACGACCTATGTATTTGCTTCCACAAACACACTCAAATTGGTATACGCAGTTTAAAGTGTCGAGCATTGGCGACTGGTCTTTCCCAGATTGTTGAAGCACTCGCTTAATGGTATTAAGGAAAACAGGTTTTGCAGCATAATAAGTTTTCTTGATGGCTTTGTCGAGACTTCGTTTGACTACTTCCTGTACATCATCTGATATAGACAAGTTTCTTCGGAACTGTTTGGATTGTTTTGCAGGGGCCAATTTCTTTAGAGTTTTTATTAATAAACTTCTCAGGATATGCATTCTTAGATAAAATATCCTTCAGAGATTTTATTTCATGCTCAACAGCACTGTCGGAACAAATTTCCCGTGCTCTATTGAACAGTGTTCTGACTTAGTTCTTTTTATACCGGATTGGAACAAAGCCTTTTCTTCCTATAGATTTGGGAGAAACGCCTAAATAGTTTTGACAAAGTACATCACATCACATCGCACCCCTAATTTGGAATTGTAACAGCGAACATGCGAGTAGAATGCAACTAATTAGAAGAAAAGAAACAAAAGTCCTCAGCCCAAATCTTATGACTTCTAATCACATGTTGTTTTTGAGTCCTTAAAAATAAAACGTCAGTTTTAATCTTTCATCCTTTAAAAGTGAAAGCAAACTTAACTTATGGCATTTTATGAAGTATGTAACGGATTTGGATGAGAAATTACTTATGGTGTTTTTACTGTAGTTTTAAAAATTAGCAGCCTCCTCTTAGTACTCCCCCAGTGTGTGTCACTTTATATAGGTACATATAACAATTGCTGTATAGCAGTGCTTTCGGTGACCACACCATGTTGAAGATATCAGGTCTTATTCTATCACCAAGACTGAGCAACCTTAGGATAAGGTTAGTACTTGTACGGGTGGCTGGCTTCGAATGCCAGGTGTATCGGCGACTTTTATGCTAAGAAATCCATGCTGTATCAGTGTACTATTCGCAAGAGATTCATTGTTATCCTTGAGATAGTTAATCTGATTGAGTAGCTTCTGTTGTCCTTCGAGACAGCATCCTCAGCGTAAGCTTCAATGTGAGGTTGATCTATTTGAACTTTCTGTGAATGATATAATAATTATTATTACTAAATGTTGACTCAGTAGCGTGGTATAGCGGTTAGCGATTTGATACTTAGAATGATAAGTGCTTGGTTTGAGGTCTTAGTAGGAATGCTGTCATTCACTAAGCTTGTTGTGAAATCATCTGATGAGCCACTTGCTGAACAAAACATGTTCATTGTGCATTTACATTTTTAGGGCCATTATTTATTGTCGAAATATTTACTTTCTTGTCTTTGTTTCATTACTGACGGATTTAACAAAAATCCAAGGATCTGAATATTTTGTCTTTACTCTTTTCGCATTCTGAGTGGAACATAGGGCTTCAAGCTTGGGCTTTGAAGTTCCAGGAACGGTAGTTTTATTTGTTTACAGGATAGGGTTACTAGTCTCACACCTAACCTCTCCATTTTGTCGTGGTTACTACTAGTGAAGTGAGGTTTAGGAGTGCACACTCGTATTCCTTAATTACTCGTCATTTTTCCAGAAATATGCATTGCGCAATCCGTGTGTTTCAACCATTTCTACCTTTTAATTGTGTGTATTAGTTTTCTTTGCTAATTATCACCCCATTAACATGCTGATACTGGCCAATTATTGTTAACAAACATATCGCTACTTGATTGGTAAATTTTTGTGTATTGTAATAAAAACGCTATATATATTACAGTAGAGTCAGAGTGAGGATCTAATTGAAAATTAATCATTTCTTCGATCAGTCCTTCTGCTTTCTAAATGTGCGTCAGTGGCACAGTGGTTAAGACTCTCGCCGACCATGAACATGGTCCGGGTTTCGAGCCCACGCCGACGCACAACTGATATCTATGGTCGGCCTGCGAAATTTAGGCTACCGATATCCACACTGAAAATTCCATACTTGTACCAAAAATACAGTGTGGAATCAAGCTGTAATCAAAAATAAAAATAATAGATGAGGAATTTTTCTATGTGTAGGAGTATGGTGGTCAGGAATCGAACCCGGAGTACATGTGTGGTTGGAAAAGATTCTACCCTTGAATCACTGCTGCACTAGAATTTGCTTATCAATAAACTATTCACTATTCAATGTACTAAGAACCGCACAGTTTCATTGCTTGTAATTAGTCTGGTTGCATAGCCCAAACCTTAGTGTGCAATAGTGCCCTGAATGATGATTTTGAAGAAACTGCTGGTTTCATGCATGTTGTTTTATTTCATTTGATAAGGACTAACAGTGAAATCCAGGTTGTGTATTACGTCCTATTTAGAACTCTTCAGATGAATGTCCTGCATTCCCTATGAGTGGGCGGTGGTGTTCCCACTGAGACTGGAACCTTGAATCCATCTTTTCAAACACCAGTGAGTTTTCCTCTGAGTCACAAGAACCACCTGTTGTGTTTATTTTTATTTAAATGCCACGCTGATGGATTATGTTCGCACTGGTGGCCTAGTGGACCGTGTTATTTTGCATAAAACGATGTATACGGGGTTTGAGTCTCATTGAGTGCACCAGGACTCATTGGGCAAGTAGGTACATTTGGGATCGCATTGCTAATCATTATTAATAAAAGTAACATCACACAGACGTCCTTGAAGCGTCTGCACTAGCAGCCAGCAGACTGAATATTCTGTTCTAATAAAATCAAACAAGTGATAATATTAAATTAACCTAAAAACGAATAGTTTATATATGAACAAACATAAATTGTGTTCCGAGTACGCCTTCTTGTCCGTTTTCATCCCTATCCATTAGTTTTTCCTCCTCCTTTATCCTCTACAGTTGCTTACAATTATAAAAAATTCATCGATCCAACAACCACTAAAGATGAGGCAACAAAATCTTCTGTTGTTGGTTTACATCATCAAATCAGTCTACAAACGACAACTGTACTTAAAGATCATTACGAAAATACTAAATGGTCTTATGGACCATTACACCCAAAACCGATAGATCGTGGTGATGGTATCGGTGAACCGTTCAGTCCGTGTCAACAACAACGACAACAACACCAGTCTATTGATAAGACTGGAGAAGGCAAGAAGAATGATGATATGGAGGGATCATTTGAACAACAAGAAGAATCACAACACCAACATCAGTCCAATCAGTGGCTTAAAAATGTCATTAAACCCGGTGTTATGGATAAGTTACTTGCAATCCCTATAATGATTGTTATTACAAAGGTGAGAGATAGCCTTCTTTTACGATTATTGCTATGATAGCTTTTTATTCGAAAAACGTTCTACTATCAACCTAGTGAACCTATTTACTTACTATTACTTTTGGAAGGATACTCAAAAGATAAGGATTTTATGATTAATTGTTTATTAAAAAAGAAAAAGAAATATTTGTCCACCAAAACATAAATTCACAAGGAATTTATTGATTCGGTCAACTTTTGTTTTGTTGAAGTGTGTAAATGTACGCGCTTAATTTAAATCAGATTAAACGCGGAAAGATATATAATGAAAGTCTTAGGTCAATCAATAGAGTTGTTCTTTTTAAAAAAAATAAGGCAAGCGTTAATTCGTACAAAGGGAGGGGGAAGGAGAGAGAGAGAGTTAAACATTTTTCTTACTGATTTACAATATTGTTGGTGGCTATTTAGGTTGAAGTGAAGCTATTTGGAATTGATTTCGTTCACATTCTAGGGCGTTTCAAAAATAACAAGCAAACATGGTCATTTGTAAAACACATTGAAAAAAAATCTTTTTTATTAATAGAATGAGGAGTAGAGCGAAACCAATTTCTTATTTGCAATTAAATCTCATGACTATATATGTTATACCACTATGTAGAATTGATCCACAATTTTCCATTAACACTTAAGAACAGATATGATAATGGCCTGAATATGCCACAGAACAAATTACTCCATGTAGGCATATAAATACTTATAAATCATTCGTCGCGTTCTGAACTGGGTATAGAGCTTTGGTGGCACATCTCCATTGTACTTTTTCCGCTTATTCATCTGGCTGCCCAGTTGCCTACATGCTGTCACTTCTTCGCATAATCCCCAGGATGTCACCTTAAGACTCTTATCCGAATTGTCACTTCCCATTTGAGTCTCACTCAACTGTTTGTTGGTGAGTGATGTCACTTAAACGTCTTCCTGGTTAATGTCCACTCCGTCTTCATTTTCTTCTGCATATTTTTGGGCAGCAGATTGTTGGCTGGCTCACTGCCAGAGTTCGTTTTTGCCTGTCCTCTGTGTGGCCTGCCATCTGACCTTCAGTGTTAAGCGAAGACGGTAGATGTTAATGAAGGTCTGTTTCAGCCTGCTGAAAATGCTTCTTTAGGCTTACAGAGACGCTTTGTTGATAAGTTCCACTAAGTGTGAAAAGATATGTAGTGCGATGAACCGAATAGAAGTTTTTTAGATCGATTCTGAGTATTGATTCAGAGACATTCAAGAGCTCTAAGAAGAATCACAGAGTGCGTAGTTCCATCTCGATACTCCTATTAAACACTACTAGTTGACGTAAGTGGTATCCAACACTACTTATATGAATCCTTCAGTAGTACATACCACCGTACAGTTATTTTTTCTTTCTTCATTGCCATTTGTTATACCAAGCAGATGACATATTGTTATTTCTCGCCTCTAACTGCGTAATTTTCAAATTGCGAACTCGATTCAACGTACAGCCAGTCCGCCCAAGCAATTAGGAAGAATCAAGGTGGTTTGAAGTAATATGACTGCCTGAGCTGGGTCAATTAATCGGAATAAATCACTGACGATATAGGCTCCAAAAGAGTGAAACAACCGTTTGGCGTATAAATCATTTCAAGCTGACTAACAAGTACTGCTAGTTGACCCAGGTGGTTTCTTACTACTCATAAAGTTCAACCAGCAGTATACACTAGTAAAGAGCTGTCTGAAAATGTTTTCCGACAAAATAATGTGCGTGTGACACGACAACAGTGTGTCGTGTCGTTCCGACTGCTATTCTTCTCTTAGGATTAATATGAAAACAGAAATATATAAATTTCCCTTCCATCAATATAAAATTTAATTGGGCGTTTGTCAAATTGCCACAGTACACACAAAACTTCACATTATGTCATATCTTAAAGACCAAAAGAAAATTATAGGTGGAGACTTGTATACATATATATGTAGGGCATTTTAACCCACATTTATATATATATATATATATATATATATATATATATATATTGGCAGTTATACATTACACTTTTAGCAACTAAAATGATTAAAAAATCAATCACATTTATTGATTACAAATACTTATATTGGTGTATATTTGTAACTTTCACCAAATAAAGTGTTTATATATATTAAAAGGCATATACGTGCTGTGTGTTCACAAATAATCATATCTATTTCTTCCTGAGAAATCCGTCATTGGCTCAGAGATAGAATGCCTGTCAGCCATTTACACATGGTTTCGGTTCTATACGCAGGCAATGCAATCATAAATGTCACTTGGTCGGTAGTAAGACGGAAAAGATGGGAGGTTAGGTGCGAGGCCAGCAATCTTACCCTGTAAAATCACAGTTCACTACTGAAACTTTAAAGCCTAAAGCTTAAAGTCCTATATTCCTCCTGCAATACAAAGAGGGATATCTAAAAGATGTAGTCCTGACAAATGAAGTGGACTGACGGAGACACGCCTTAGAGAAGGAAAGTAAAAGTCGATAGGAATGGAACAGAAATTGATGGTTTCAAGTTCGGTCACGGGATTATACCAGTTAGAGAACCATTGAAAGCCACCAAGGAGTACTGGACAGCTGCTCTGTCCTAAATTGGAACTTTTCGGTAGTGTGCACCCACCGGGGTTCTAACACAGGACCTACTAGTTACATGACGATCTCGTAGGCGATTCAGCCATTTGGACCTGGTCCAGTGGTCCATAAACTCCAATTTCTGCCAGCTGGTGATATTCAGAGCAACCACCAGTTGACGTTATCAGCGAGTATTTGTTGTGACTAGTGAGGTTCACCCGGTCGGGAATGAGGAAAATGGCTTGACGATGACACTTGATGGTGTTAGCGGTAAAATCAAAAGTTAGTATTTGTTATAATTCACTGGCCATTGAATTGGGTCCCAGTGGATGAATGGCCTATAAGCCTGATTTGTAAACGGAAGGTTCTGAGTTCGAACCTAGGTGGGTGCGTTCTGCAGAAAAGTTCCATACTAGAATGAAACATTTGTCCAATATTCCTCGCTGGTTTTCAGTGGTTCTCCAACTGATATCTGTGTGTGGTCAGACTTGAAATCAGTGGTATTGTAATATAGTGTTGAGAGTGAGGGAGGTAGGGAGGGAGTGAACGAGTAAGGAATCATCGATTTCCGGCTTATAGTTGATAAAATGCAACGAATAAATATGTATATGTTGAATCACAACTGATGGGAAGAATATCTATTTCCAAGTATTCATTAGTTTAGTTGAGAAAAAATTTTTAATGTTCTTAACTTCGCTTTTATTATTAACGTTAATGAGTTATGATTGAAAGTGCAGCCGAAATATTCGCCTCAGCAGAAGTGAAGTCATAGCTCCCAGAATATCTTGTCCAAGGGGTCTTTTAGATGACCTAAGAGACTCATGTAATAACCAAATCATCAGATTTGACTGTAATCATTGTCACCCTAGTTACCCAGATCGCCTTGTCTGGGATCAGTATTAATTACTCTTATGACATTACGAGGAAAGTAGAGATTACCAACGGAGAGTTGAGTAACGTTCACAAACATGACACAACTGGGCATTAAATTCCAAAATAGTAGTAAAAAATAACCTGGTTAGCAGTTCACTCTAGTAGCTCACCGCGTACTGCATAGTGCTGGTAATCAGAAGGCCACCAGTTCAATTCTTATCGTGATCTGGATTTTCATTCCACCTTTAATCACCGACCATTACATAAACAGTTAAATTAGTGTGTAACAACAGGAGACAAGGGCCGGCAACAGATCATTTTATTATGGAAATCAGCACGTATTTATATATATTTCATGTACATTGTTATAGCTTATTCAAGCAGACAAACACAGTCTTCTGATTGGTTGTTTCTGGTTTCTCGGAAAGTTAAGCCATATCTCTGCGAATCTTATTTGCCCACGTTAAGTCTGCTGTGATTGGTTCTTGAATCAGCCTTGTTCATATTTTCTCACGGCCAATATTTGTGATCTAGACGTTGACGTAAATTAATTTCTACCAATTGGCTAGCAGCCTGCTCTCACCACAAGCGTATCAATATAAATTGATTAATTAATTAATAATTAATTCATTTCACTTATTACTGTTGTTATTAATATTATTATTTTCTTTGCATTATTTTAGAGTGATACGGCTGATGCCCTTGAAAAAGAGTCTGGATATACAGATGAACAATTCGATTTTATTCTTTTTCACTTGAGAAAGTTGTGTCTAGAATGTATCCTTTTTAGGTTTCAGTTTTTGAAAATGTTGGAAGTCAGATAAAATTTTGTTTTATAAAATAATTTCACCCATGTAGAAATTAATGTATAATTTTAAAAAGTTGCATTGCAGCCAATTAGCTGACTTCAAAATTTCATCATGAACTGAGATTGGTTTGAAGACCATTGGAAAACCTGGAGTACAGACAAGCTGTTTCGTCCTAAATTGTGACTCTTTAGTGCCACTCACCCACTGATAGGGTTCGAACCTAGCACTTTCTAGTTACAAGGCGAGCTCATAAATCATTTAGCCACTGGGACCTGATGCAATGACTTTTCCATGCATTCCAATTCCTGCTAATTCACGATATGGCGCGATCACTCGCAAATGATAGTTGATTCCCAGTTGGATCACGAACCGAAACTAGTCAGACAGTCACTTAAAACCAAGGGGTTTGATCACCAGTTGGTCCCTAAACTTGGGGTGAAACAGGAGTTCATTACTGCTTTCTGCCTTCCAGTAAAGTCTAACTAATGTCACTTCATTATCTAACTAGAAATCAATTAAAAACTTTTCAGTTAATTTCCACAAGTTCATTCGTAATGTCACTTGTACAGCTCTTCAGAAGGTTTCCAGTGCATTGTCACTTCTTTCTGTATATTTTAGGGGGAATAAGGTTGTTGGCTTGCTAGTGACTTATGACAATTTCTTCTGGCTCGTCCTTTCTGGATGACCATCTCACTTTCAGTTAGGAGTGAACATCTGTCTTAACCTGTTTAAGTACCTTTTGTTGGTGCTCCAAGTCTCTAGAACATATAGAAGCATTAACCTGATATTAGTGTTAAAATTCCCGGTCGGATCCTGAAGTGTAGAATGAGCAGCTGACGACACATTTTCTTTGTATAAGATGAAATCGTTAATTATCATCTGGACGACTGATAATTGAACTCTTGTTGGAATAAATTCAAATCATTTATAATGCGGCAAGTGTATTTCCTCTAGCATCTTTAAAGATTTGAAAATCTATACGGAACTTTATAGTAACAAAGTAGAAATCGTTTTTCAATAGTATCCTAAGCCATCGGTGGTTTTACTGAGCCGAAATAACCAGTGCATATACCAAAAGAGAGTGACCATTTTGATTCAATTAAAGAAGCAACAGCGGGATATTCAAAAATTCCAGGTGATTGGAGAAGTACTGAATTGAATACAGGATAAATACACTATCAACGGAAATGTTGGTTTCGTCTAAGATCACTCCTTTATCATTCTTGGTGTCTTGAACGAAACAAAAATTTTAACGATTGTTTAAATACTTGTCAGATGGACAAATTTTCAACCTTATTATTCGTTCTACACATATACAACTATAGTTTCAACGCGGTTTATGGATATTCAGTTTTTGGGCTGTCCTGAAACATGACACGTTGTATAATCAGTTAGTGGTACTTGTGGCATAACCAGATCATATTATGCTTCCCCTTCTATATTTGCTTAACGAGGGGTTGAGAGAGCTTGGGTGATTGGTTTTTGTGTGAATGAGTAATGGATTAATTGGTTTAATGCTAGTAAAAAGTTTGACCATTGTGGAATAGATTAGATAAAGTGTAGTGATATTTCAGTATTTTACACACAATGATAAGTTTTTTTTTGGTAATATTTCGAGAAAAATTACTGCCCGTGTCCGCACCACTGTTGGAATTTTTTTAACTGAAGTTATAAAAACAGCATGCACATGAGCGGGAAACCTGACAGGATCACTCGTATATACTGGGAGAATTGGTATTTTGAGGTAGATTTGGAAAACCGGAATCAGAAATATAGGTGAATATCAGAACAACATAATATACAGTCATGTTTTCAACAATTCGGTGACTTTTGTCGCTACTTATTTATGAATAATTGCCGAAGGTCAGTAATAGGGTCCATTGGATTGGCTGCCGAAGATTTTGTATTCATCAGAGGGGAATAACATGTGACTTCAGTGTTTTATTAAATTTCACAGATGATGAATAATTATGCTGTCTGGCATGACACTGAAATGTTCTCCATCATAAATCAGTCGCAGCCTTGGGTAGGCTTAAACTTCTCTACTAGATATAGTGACTGCTTAAACAAAGTTCTTGACGTGATTTCCCCCTCCACCCTCCTGTCCACAACTGAAATCGTATTCTATCGTTTACTTCTCATCAGATTATTTACTTGTTTAACTAAAAGTTCATATCAAGTAACCATTAGTAACCACTATTGTTATTGATATGAGATGAGTTTCCGTTCTGATTTATTAAAACAAAGAATCTGTCATGTAACATGTTAAATGTACTATCAGATAAAAAACACAAGTAGATATCACAAAAACATAGTTTGACCTTATGTTCTTTACGTATATAAAGAGGAAGGAGGACAGCAAAAGACAAAAAACAAAAAAGAAACTCTGGAGAAAAAAATACACTTCAGGATGACTCTTGTCAGTCAATTAAATCAGCTGATTATTGCTGGAGAGGAAGAAATCAGATATACTTTTTTTGTCCTCGTTTAGAGATTTACACCAATGAGGACTTATGAAAACCTCACGGTCAGCATATTAATATTGAGGTGATGAGCTGAAATCCAGCAAGGCAGATTCCAATGAACCCTATTTTCGACGATGATATTCTTAATTAGGATCGACTGGGTTATGCGCCAGACTGTGAGTTGGGAGTGAGAAGATAGGAATACTATGGACAGAAAAGAAGACTCTAGAAGGTGTGGATTTCGTGCGTGGATGATTTATGTTTATTCTCACACAAACCCGAAGAATTGCAGGCGAAAAACAACAAACTTGCAGAAGGTACGAGCAGCGAAGACAAGACTGAAGGTGAACATAAAGAAGACGGAGGTGATAAAGATGACTGACTAACCAACAACAGCAACAACAACCAGCGCCATTCACTATCAATGGGAAAATCTCGAAAGAGGTTACTTCCGTCAGCTACTTAGGAAGCATCGTTTCAACCACAGGCGGAACAGGTGAAGATGTTAAAACCAGAATCGTAAAGGCAAGATACGCCTTCATCAACCTTAAAGCAATTTGGAAATCTTCTACAATAACTCAGCATAAAGAACAAGATTCGAATTTACAACACAAATATGAAATCAGCCAGTTCTTATGTACGGTCAGAAACATGCCGTATGTGTCACGAAAAAGATTTCCAGCAAATTATAGACTTTCACGGACAGCTTCATACTGAAAATCAAATGGCCGACCAGAAAGAATTAGAAACAAGAAACTCTACAATGGAACAAACCAACCAAGAGCCAGTTGCTTAACAACTATGAAGAAGAATAAGGAGACGGATTGGGCGTATGCTGAGGAGGCTGTCGGATGACATCACGCGTCAGGCAATTTCTGGAGTGGAATCCCAATGGGAAGTTATAAGATGGTCGTCCAAGGGTGACATAGAGGGGATTGTGAGGCGAGGAGGAGATGAGAGACTACTGGCAATTGTGCACCCAACTGAAGAGGACATCAGAAAAAAAAGAACACAGTGGAAATGTGTTGTTGAAGTTCTATGTTCCACTCGGAACCCAAGAGAATAATAATAATAATAGATTCCAATGCCCTACCTATCTCCCGACAAAACTTAGAACATTGGTGAGGTTAACTACAAGTTCACAAATCTACTATCTAACTCATCAAGTAGTAATTAAAACTGAATAACGGTCTTGGTTGTAGCAGGATTCGAACTTGTAGTTGTTTGAAGGCCTCGATTTAATCACTATTTTAGATCATTGGATTTTACGAAGTCGAGTATGAGGACAAATACTTGCTGATGATACTGGCTAGCAGTGGTGCTATTCAACGCCAACTGGCATATTTTATAATTCTTGAGCTGGCCGACTGACACCACTATAACTTTTCTTCTCCTTTTTTCTGCGATTTTGGCAGTAGGTTAATTCTAATATCTATTTCGTCAGAAACATATATTCGTTTATGAATGACTGAAAACAGAGGGAAACTGAGTTGCTGTTTTTCCTTGTTCGGGACTCTTCAGTAGAGCCTACCCATGGCCCCATCATCATGGGTTCGACCTCGGGGACTTCAAATCAACTTATTGACCATTAGGACAATAGGATGGGATTCAGTAACTCGTGAATTCTAAATTCCACTAATCCGTTACGTAGTGCAGTTGATGAGCATCCGCTTAACGTCGGCACAGTGAATCCTATCGGTCATGACTTCTCATTATAACTTGGAGACATTCATTCAAACTTAAATAACGAGCTGTGGGTATGCATTATGATTTTAGGTTTTTCAGGAATTTAGATTAATTTTGGTATCGATTTCATCACTCGTAATACACTTTGCATGGGGTGAGACTCATGTCCGGATTCTGACAAACTCGACTTCTGTGTATAAACTACCCACTGTTTTGTGGGAGTGTATCAGTCTCCTTAAGGTTATTGGTTTGAGCCACGTAAGGAGACACAGACTACCTAGCTAGGGTCATCAGAAGCTTAATCACCAAAGGTTAGAGTCTGTTGAATATATTTTCTGCCTTTATATGCTTATGAAATGTGGCAAATAAAACCGCTGTACTTCAGTGCGAAATTCTACTTTGAAAATACAGCGAAATCCTTGTTTGCTACATACTGATCTGTATAATTCGCGGTGTAATTCGAATGTTTTAAAAAGCAATAAATGATAATTCAACCTTTGAGAGTGGCCAGGAGTAGAATGAATACATGACACACTTTTAGTCTTATTCCCGATTCGTCCGCCTGATGTGCTTTCATCCCAGTGCGTGATGCATGTTTCCCTTAAAACTCATGCTCAATATCCATCGTTCGAACTCTAAAAAGTCATCCAACAGGTTACTGAACCACAAGATTCCACATGTGATTTCCGTTGATATTTTTGGCTGAAATGTTGGCCCTCATTTTGGAATACAGGCCCGTTGAACGAATGCCTTCATATATATATGTGAAATCAGAAATATTAACGAGTATAAATACATAATATAAAACAATCGTTATGTAGTTCGAAAACATGTCATTTACTTATTCCTCATATTCGAAATATGAATGCTGATTTCAGGTGACATGGAAAAGTATGTAGTTTTCAATTCTCAATGTCTTCGAAATACGATGAAAATGTGAAGGAGGAAAATTTTAAACTTGTGACAATTAGTCGCCAGTAGAGCATAACGATGTCTTACTGCTGAAATTAAAACACGAAAGTGGTCCATAGTTTAGTGCAGTTATGATTGTTTCTTATTTTCAGGCAAATTTAAATTCTCCATTGATTGATTATTTTGGACCGAAATCCTCTGTCTCTGTTGACATTTGTAACCATGCGTAAATACTTCAAGTCTCAGTGAAAACACCATCTTTCCCTAAGGAGGTTGGCACATCCAGATGACAAGTCCCAATATAGGACGAAATGCCTCTCCACTAGATTTTACCACTAGTCATCACTAACCAGAATAACAGTTATGATTCTTTTATTGATAATATTTCTGTCAAGGTCTTTTTAGTGTTTTACATACATACATCCCGCCAATTCCCCTTACATCAATTTAAATAAAAAAGATGGAGCTGCTTTAATCTATACATCAGTTAAAGAATCAATCAATACAGATGTTTTCTTAGATTATCTCAAACATCGTCTATTTGATATGCCACTGAAAAATTCTGCAATGCTTGTTGACCCGGAAGCAATATTCATGTAAGTTGCGCAACAGGTTTCGTATTCCTCCTATTTTGTATTCTTCTTCCTTTACTAATAACAAAATATGCTGATAAATTTACTTGTAGCAACGTGATTGTCAATTCATTGGGTTCTGGAGGTTGTGAATTCAACAGTAGGCCTGGAATTAATTACTGCAGATCAAAGTTTCAATGTAAGACTAGATAGCACTTTCGTAGTCAGCTTTAAAGTCTTTAGTCTTCGCCAAATCAATATCGCTTACGATAGTGGTGAAAATCAAGCAGGTATACTGAATAGCTGTTTTGTTCTACTGTGAGACTTTTCAACGATGAGCACTCATAACCGTACTAGGTATGGAATCCCTACAACTTTAGTCTATGAGAAGAGTCATTCAACCAGCCAGAATCCAATGGTCAGGAAATTTTAACTTCTATCAATTCATGTAATGTAGCTCCACATGCACTGAACGCTCCAAATAGAATGTAGGGCCTCGAGCTTTCAACTCTGAAGTTTCAGTAGCTATGATATCTTCTTTGCAGAGTGGGGTTGTCTAAACCTCCCTCTTTTTATGGGTTTACTATCGTCTTTAAAACTAGGTAAGGTTATAAGTGAGCATCTGCCAGGATTTAAATCCGGATCAGGAGCGTGGGTCTTGAGCATTCTACCTAAAAGTCACCGATGTTCGCCCAATGTTATTGTTTGAGAAGTTTTCACATGACAGTCGCGTAAACGTATATGTATAGAGTCTATCAGAAATCTTCCAGGTATTTCTCAAAGAATTAAGAAGCGCCGGATAAGTAGCACCTCTATCGCAGATTAATAGTATTTTAACTCCGTTAAATAATCAGACAGTATTACTTCATTGTTGTTGGCAAACTTCTCAGAAGCACAGTGGAGTATCATTTTTAGTAAGATTTTATGGTCATAAGTGTGAAAAATTGTACATTATTTTCAAGTGAGCTTTGACTGGTTATTCTTGTTTGTGTAGGTTTGTAATCTGTCTAGAATGTTTGTAATCACTTAGTTTATATTTAAGCTCGAATATTTATGTTAAAGGTGGCTATTTATAATTATTCCCTTTATCGTAATTTAAAGTGTGATTGCGGTTCATTGACCTGAGTGTTCAAGCTTGTTGCAAGCCTCTGACGTTTCTAATGTGTATTGATTGAAGACAAGGTATAATCTCAGGTTTCGCGCTTATCAGCAGTTATTCATTAGGTATCTCTACAACCTTAGAAGAAATGATGTTGCTTAAAACATTTGAATTGGCGTCATCTATAGCTTTAGTCACAGAATTTACGATTAAGTTATCCCGAAAGTTGCTAACCTCATGCAGGACTATGATTGATGCACTGATTGGTTACTAGGGTGTAAGTTATCTTAGGTTATGTGGTCTGAAGAACTGATGGAATTTTATCAGTCAGCTATAGTAGTAGTAGTAGTACAAGTAGCTGCAAAGCGAAATAGCAGTTTACAAAACATCCAACATGCAGTTACATAATTCAGCGTATTTGGTTTTCTACAAAAAGACACTTATGGGATCTTCAGTAATGTTGCACTTCTTCAGGAATTGTCATATTTTCTAGTATCGCTTTTGTAGGAAATTTTGTTTGATTGGTTGGAGGATTTCATCATGAGTTGACATTGGTTAGAGAATCACCGGAAAACCAGGAAGTACTGGACAGCTGTTTCGTCCCATTCTAGGACTCTTTGCAATACGCACCCATCACAGGAGTTCTAATCTAGGACCTTCTGGTTACGAGGCAAGATCATAGACCATTTAGTCACTGGGACCCGATGTAATGACCCATGAATTCTAACCTCTTCTAATTCATGACGAGGTTACCTTGTAACCAGAAGATCCTGGGTTCAAACTCTGTTGGCGGGTGCGTAATGCAAAGAGCTCCAAAGTAGGACGAAACAGCTGTCCAGGACTCTCTGGTTTTCCAATGGTTCTCCGGTGTCAGCTCATGATAAAATCCTCCAGCCAAATTATCATATTTCTACTATGTAAATGTATGTACAAATCAAAGTATGGAGACTTCAATAATGTTCATAAACTCTTATCCACTTATCGCAACAGGACATTTTTAATTAGAACTCCTGAAAACAAAAGTATACTTGATATCCAACTCATCTTTTGCTTCTGTCTTGTCTTCATCAGTTGTATCAAGCCAATTATTGTTTACCCCAGTAGGGTCCTTTAGGTGACCACATATTGAAGGTTGATGAAGTCTTTTTCCAATCTACCTACATAAGATATTTTTATTCCATATTTTCATTTAGAAGAAATTTCATTCTAACGGACAATATTCGACAAGTTGAAGTTCTTACATAAATAGGTCATACATACGTAATTAGTTGAGAGAGATTCGTGTCGCATAACAACTAAAACACATAGATTAGTTTAAAGATAAAAAAGACTGATCAAGAGAAGATTCTTTTTTATAACCTCTTTAAAAGATTCTACAGTTATATATGTTCACAAAAAGTGACTAAAGACTAATCGTTATTGACAACATACTGTTTTTTGGGAAAAAAAACATCGACTTGTTAGGATAACTAGAAGCATATGTAAGCAGTATTTAGCATACAAATTTGAATATACGATAAAAATGAAGAAGAAGATTAGTACGACAATTAAAAGTGTTTAAAACAGTAACAGTGACTTGTAAAAGGCATAGAGGGAAGCGTAAGTTTTGATTTGACACTAATAACTAGTGTGACGCATCTAGTCCTCTGATTGGTGTAGACTGAATTCTATCAGTCTGACGAGTGCCAGCTAGCATGGAACCTAGGTCCAAGGCTTCGTGTCGTTTGCCTCCAACCATCTAATACCATCAGAGGCGTAAGTTATCAGATTTTTGCAATCAAGTGATAATGGTCAAGATAAGGACAGTGGTTGTACGGACCACTTCTAAACATGTAAGCTTGGCTTCTTTCACTGGATTTCGGTGACTTCAGTTATACATGTAGAAGATGAACTATCAAGACAAAATTAAGATTAGTCGGAATACGATAGATAACTTGAAAAGCCTTGTTAATATTGACTTCGTGTTCAGTATTTACGAGGAGAACTAAAACAGTGTCCTTTACTTAACAATGCAGGGTGGAGATGGTGTTCTCCAGTGCTATGATGAATATGCCTAGTTGAATGTTCAATGTAATTCGCTCCACAGGAGCGAGCTTTTCTGTAAAAGTAAAATCTTAACGGTTGTTTTTAGGATGGCCTAGTTATCATTGTTAACTGTAAAGTCACGATTGATGCAATCAATCACGTATTGATTATCTACTTATAGTTTAGATTTCTGTTGATTTGGAAACGATGTATACCCTGCATTGTGAATAGTAAAGGTTGTTATTGTGGTTGTCGTAGTTTTCTCCGTTAAATCTGCCTTCTGTGACTACCTCAGTATGGGGGAATATTTCCAGGTGATTAGCTAGCTATAATGTCGTGTCTGTAGACGCACTGTAGTCAAGATAGACGACAGACGACAAAATCACTAACACGCCTTTACAAAACTTGTGAAGAAAGAGTGAGCTTCTACTTCATTGAGTGCTATTCTAACTGCATTCTTTAGGCAGTTTAATTTTATCTCAGTGATATTTACACCAAGTAACTTCAGTTGTAATGACATGCGCTTCTTTGGAGCTGTTGACATACAAACTTGCCTCGGAGTTAAGTGTATATATATATATATATTTACGAGTTGATCACGGATTGATATCAGTTAGAGTACCATTGAAAACCAGGGAGTACTGGACAGCTGCTGTTTCATCCTGGTTTGGAAATCATCGGTAGTACGCACACACTAGGGTTCGAACTCAGGACCTTCCGGTTACAAGGCGAGCTCGTATACCATTCGGCCATTGGAACCCGATTCGACAGCTCATGAATTCTAACTTCTACCAATTCGTGATTTAGCGCGACCCCAACCATTGTCGTTGGTTGGTTCGAATCCCAGTGGGTGCGTGCTGCCGATGATTCCCAGAACTAGGATGAAACAGCAGCTCTCCAGTACTTCCTGGTTTTCAATGGTCCTGTAACTGATACGTACATGATAGTGTTCTTCATTTGGAATTAAACTGTGAAAACTGGATGAACTACTTCAGACAGCTTTTATTCAAGTTGTTTCAGAATTGAAATTGAGAACTACCTTCCTTTTTCCAAAATTATTACAATGAGTCTCCTGTTGACTGATTTTTATTTTGGACTGAAATTTTTGACCTCTGTGCTGACACGTCAGCTCTTAGTCTGGACGCCTCGATGACATCTGAAAGTCAGCATTGATGGTATTTCGGTTGATGGTGACTAGCGGTGGAATCCAGGATGCTCATCTTGTAATAACTGATATTCGTCTTACGGGAAGTGACTTTTCTGCATCCACCGATCTAGAATGAATAAAGCTTTGATGTTTGAAACAATGTTTGTTGGGCTCGAGTCTTGGCGAGAATCCTACCCATTCATACACACTACTGGTGCAGATGAATGCAGCTCACGAATCCCAAAAAGGATTAAATGCTCAACCTAAAATTTTCCAATGGCCATCATCAACTAAAATGAAATCACTAACAAACTGATGGTAGATATCATCACAGATAGAATACAGCAAATACTGAAAAGCAAGAAATTATCGACAAATGTCTCTTCTTTCTTTCTAAGATAATCATTATTGATTCAAGATGAAATAAAAATCTAGTTGACGAAGGGTTTCGAAATAGAGACCTTGGAACATCCGTCCTATGAACAAATGATATGTCACCTTCCGCTTAAAACTCCCTCTTATATCCACCCATCTAAATCTTCTCATTATATAGACTTATCGCTAAGAATATGAGGAATAACGCAGGAACAGCTGGCCGGTTATTAATGAAGATGAAATAATAACCAGAATCGCGATAGGACACATACCAGCAACCGCTGAATTACTGGTACACTAACACGAAACTATCTCATGTAAAACTGGGCGCAGAGATCTATTAGGATTTAAAATCAAGAGTTGATCAGTCCAACCTAT